TACAAATAAAGTTTCTAACAGTCAACTGTGCTGTCTAGTCATACTAAATGTCAACATTATATACACTTTCAAAGCAGTTTCAGTGTGAATGAAATTATGTATTAGAACTTATGAAGGTCAATTAAAACATTAAATTGTTTATTTTAACTTTAACAGTGCAATGCTATGCATGTTTACTTATATGAGAAAGAGAACACATGGTCTGCATGGAGAGGATCCTATACAGAGAAGATCTGGCATCTCAGATTGAAAGAATCAGGTAACAGGTGATAGAATCTCTGCCTAAGAGTCAAAGTAGGCATAGATGGATAAATACAGTCTGATTTAGTCGTTTGCGACTGAACTTAATTGTCAGAGGTCCTTTACCTTTACCTTTTTAGCTTCTTATAAATCTGTGGTTAAATAGCCTTTGATTGCTTTTTTTCCTTGCTAATTTTAACCACCACTACCCCACAAATGTATTTATTAAAAGCTGAAGTATTAAGTTGCTGTTGGCATCCATCTGTCTTGGGAGACAATGGAAGTGGGTACCATTGGGGTAAAGTCAAACCATTGGAGAGTTGCAGCGCCAACTGTGGCTGTAGAGACCAATACGGGAGAGACATGTTTTATGGGGCAGATGAAGGCATCCAGTTGTGCTGCTGCAGATTCATGACGTTTATTCTCTCTGCGCTCCTCCCAGCAGTCATTCCTCCTCTGGTCACTGCTATGGATGCATGACCTGACTGCCTGTTTCCAGGCACTGTGGTCATCAGCAAGGAATTCCCACATGGCAGGGATGCGGGTGGCGCTGTGGGTTAAACCACAGAGCCTAGGACTTGCCGATTAGAAGGTCGGCAGTTCAAATCCCCGCGACGGGGTGAGCTCCTGTTGCTTGGTCCCCACCCCTGCGCACCTAGAAGTTCGAAAGCACGTCAAAGTGCAAGTAGATAAATAGGTACCGTTCCGGTGGGAAAAGGTAAACGGCGTTTCCGTGTGCTGCTCTGGTTCACCAGAAGCGGCTTAGTCATGCTGGCCACATGACCCGGAAGCTGTACGCTTGCTCTCTTGGCCAATAAAGCGAGATGAGAGCCGAAACCCCAGAGTCGGACTGGAGCTAATGGTCAGGGGTCCCTTTACCTTTTACCTAAGGCTAATGTTGTCAGCCTTCATGTCATGTTTGCAGACATCTTTATAATGCAGAGTTGGCCTGTCAACAGACCTGGTGCCTAAAGGCAGCTCCTTGAAAGCATAATCAAAAATCAATTTCAGGTTTGTAGCTTGCAGGAGCCACAAAGCAACTCCCTCCCTCCACCTGACACCATTATCCAAGCATATACTGATTCAAAACCAAGAAGCAAATATTGTTCTTCTGGCCACACAGCACAACTTCAGGTACTTTCTCCCCATGTAGCTTCACTCTCATCTTAAGCAAAAAAAAGTAGCTTTACCTGGTGAAAGGCAGGTCTATGCCCACATGATCCAAACAAAGCATTGAGAGCCGGAGTGACCACAGGAAGCAGGTGGAGACTGACCACACCTCTTCAAGGTAACAATAACTATTATCATTTTAATTACAAACCCAGCGGAAGGAGAAGATAGTCCTAAGCAGGTTTTGTCTCTCTGAGCCAAAGAAATAGTGTGACCAACTATTCAGTTTGGCAGAACTCGATAATGCAAAGGATATGAAACATCAGTTGTGATTGAAGTATCAATTAGAAGTTCTTGCCTTGAGTCTCACGTGTCTTACAAGTTGTCAACTTTTTACAAATAGTCAAGCCAAGTGCAGCACGTCACAAAAATAATCATAATCAAATCAGCTGTTCACTTCTATCACAATGCATATCAAACTTTCAGTATTAGGGTACCTAGGGAGCACTGTTCAAAATCCCCCAGGCACTAGGCACGTTTTGCGACTGATGCGAGTCAACTTGCAACCAAGGGAAGATATCATGTCATCAGGTTTGAAGACTGACATCTCCACCATTTGGCTGGCGTGCAGCAACTTTTTCTGCTGCTGTGCATGCCCCCACGTTCCCCAGTATCAAAAGATATTGTTGAGTACCAGCCAGCTTGTCAATTTGTAGTGATCTCTTGTAGCTGTCTGGTTTGCTTTATTTGATGTTTTATTGCTTTATTTGATGCTTTTTTTCTTTAAAATATAAAGCAGTACAGAAATGAAATTAATAATTACAGTAATAATGATGATATAAATTTCATATAAATGGCAACCCAGGTTTAAGGTGCCATTTGGTGACTAGCTTATGTATCTGAGTGAATCATAGGCATTTTATAGCACAGTGATATCTTAGCTATACCATGCTGTATACCAGATGGCAGTCATGACTGTCCAATCTAGTCATGAGTGAAGCATATCTCTTACAACACCAAGGTCTTAAAACAGCTCCAGACTGCATAACCAACAGTCAGGGATGATGTGAGCAACATCTGGAGGGCCACAGATTCTCCATCCCTGTCTTAAAAGAAAACTAACTAACCTATTATGTTTAGAAACATGAAGAAAACAAAAATTATTAACTTCAACCAAGAATGAAGCTAGACCACACAGCATAGATCAGATGGCCAGGTTCACAAAAACTTTTGTCAAGCATTGAGAAAATGTGGGCACTCTAGCAATAAATGATGTTTAACAGATCTGGGAATGCTGCAAGACAACCACGCAAGAGTCACCCTACCCCAAAAAGGTATGGATGAGTATGGACCCTGTGTCTTAATCCTTAGCCAAGCCAGGAAAACTTACTGCTTACAACTCCTAACATAGGCATTCAACCGTGAGTAAATTATTTGTTTTAGATCAGGACTGCAAGAAGGGACTCCAAGGGTCATCTTGTCCAGCCCCCTGCAATGCATCAAAATTAAGCCCCATGTAGACAGTGACCTAGTTTTAAGGCTACTAATGTCTGAATCACAGTGGCCAACCCAAGAATGGCCACACTTGTCTGATCAGATAAAAGTTTATAGAAAGAGCTCCCAGCTGCAGAAACCACTTGGGCCCCAAGTGATAAAGATGGACTCAGGCGCATCTCCAGGCTGTGAACCTGTTCCATGAGAAAGGGCTCAACCTCTTCCAGAACAGACATTTTGCTACAGGATTCAAACTCATTATCCTGGTCTTCATCCAGCCCACTAACTGCAGCCAGGCCCTGGTCCAAGGCTTCTACAGCCTCACCCAATTTAGATGCAAAAGAAAGCAGGTTCAATTGTGATCAGCATGCTGAAGGCATCCTGCTTCTAAACTCCTAATGCCTGCTTTTAATGGTTTCAGAGAGATCCCAAAAAGCTTTGGTATCATTTAGATCCCTAAAAACTTTAGGGATAAAATGTGCCCTTGCGGGACACCATAACAAAAACACCATGGGGCCAATGAGCTGTTTCTCAGTGTAACTCTCTGAACTTGGCACTGCAGAATCAGAACTATTGTAGTAAAGTGCCTCCAATGCCTATATCACAGAGTTGGTCCAGGAGGATACTATGGACAATGGCATCAAAAGCCACAGAGGAATAGGGGTGGGAGATAACACCTGCAGTCCCTGTGTTGTGCCCGCAACAAAGGATATCCATTAAGGCCACTAAGATTGATTCATTCCCATCACCAAGAAAGAACCCAGATCAAGAAAATGAGAAACCTCCAGGAATGTCTGCAGCTGCTGTGCCCCTACTTTCTTCAGCACACTCCCTAAAAAGCATTAACAACATTCTGAGCCTGCTCAGTCACATCCTCTTTACCAGTTTTTGTTTGGCAAGCAATTACTTCTTTCATCTTCAACAAGACTGTTTAGGAGGGTGTGCTCTGGATGAAATGCCTATTACCTTCACACTTGAAAAGTGGAACATTTATGTACAACTGTTCTGCAAACATAAAAATGTATTTTTATGACACACAGAGAGAGAGAGAGACTCAAAAGTAGTAATATGTTTGTATTTCCTGATTATAATTCTTATTGATATATAGTAAGTTATTAATGGATTATATATGTACACATACAGACACGTATGTGTAATACATAAAGGAGTATGAATGTGTGTGTACTGATGTACAGCCTAAGTACTGCTTATTCAATGGAATTACACACATTTATTCTACTATAACAGGCAAGGTGTCTTTAAATCTTAGCAACACCATGGGCAAATAACTATTGAAACTTCAGTCCCACACATGAGAGGAAGAACAAATGAGATACGAAAACCATATACAATATACCTACTCATGTACCCCTTAAAAAGTAGTTTCAGCTGCCACATGAAAAAATTACTGAAATTTACAGCTGCTAAAATGCCATTCTAGTTTATATGTTAGCTCAAACAGAATTCTGACACATACTGCAGAGTCAGAAAGAATACAGCTAGTACTGCTTCCTTTTAAGGACAAACAGGATCCTACGTTACTATATGCAATGCAAGAGGTGTCAATGTATAGCCTGGACAGGTTTAGGTTTCTCAAGCTCAGAGTTCTTCCTCATAAGGGCACTCAATACATCAAATTGAAAGGTTAAAGATTGTGGAGAGCTATCCTTAAAAGCTACAGCCACCCTATTTGTAAACTTCCCAGAAAATTCTATCAACATCCCAAGATAAGAGAAGACAAACTTTAGCTAAATGCAGCACTTTAGCTAAATGCAACACTAGATATAATTAAGTATCAACAAAAGGTCTGGTGCTCCAGTGTTGACTATTTCACAGGGAAACAAAAAACACAGGCTTCAAATCAAGTATCAAGCGCTCATTTCTAGAATATATGTTCAGATATATGGCTTTGTTACAAGATGATTAACAAATGTAGACTGCTGCAAATTTCAAATTCACCTTTCAACGTAATTTTATTATGAGTGAGGGAACTGCATTTTTCTTCTTGTCATAAAGAACCCAGTTCTCATCTCATAAAATATGGAATACATTGCTCAAAGTATCCTGTTGTTAAACAGCTTCTTAGCAACGGTTGCATCATAAGTCTACTAAACATCAAGGTAAGTTATGTTAAATATTGGGGGAAAAATCCTTACTCTGCTATATCAAGATATCCACAGGAAGCAGCCGCATGTAGAGGTATCCAGCCTTCATTATCAGGTTGATTAATATTGGCTCCATTTTCCACCAGAAATTTCACCATATCTACATTATCATCTATGCAAGCCTATAAACAGAAGAAAAAAGTGTTAAGGTGGTTTTAACAATTGGCCAAAAGTCATTCTGTGACAATAGATCTAACCGCAAACAGCCCATTCCACAACCAAACAGGCAGCAATAAGCCATTATCCCACATAAAGCACATGTTCACATGATTCGTGTTACACGAATTAGCCCATCATTTTCTTTTATTTATTCTGCATAAATATAAGAATCTCTATTGCCATTTCGAGTTCACTATAGCCACCTGCAACATGTTCCTTCCATTCATGACAAAATGTTCTTCTTATATGTGGTTGTTTGGTATATTTCTTCTCTGCCAGCTCACTGCCAGCCTTAGAAGGATAGAAGAGAATGCAGAGAGCATGTCTCTACTTTGTGATATATACAGAACTGTGAGGTTGTATGTCTTATCTGCCATAAACTAGCCTAATACTCTTCACTTTTTGACAGTGTGAGGAACAAAACAGACCCTGCAGAGTTTCTAAAACAAAGATGTAGAAGAGAAAACACACATCACAAGATATAGCAAACAGCAAATTATGTCAATTTCCTTAGGGTGCAATTCAGTTTTGAGCTTATACTGTAAAACCATGCATACTTGGGTACCTAGATACCTTGAGAAACTTTTAAGGGAATTAAGATTTCTATTATATGTATAACTAAAATACAGCTTTCAATTGCCTGAGTCACACATGTAAATCAGTTTGTCTCAAATAACGGCTTAGTTGTGACTATGCCCCCCTGCCATGTAGGTCCCCACATGGGTTCCTCCTCAACTCAGCACAGTACCCACACAGCTCTAGTATGGCTTTTTGTGCCATCCAAATCCCCCCCCCCGGGGGGGGGGGAGTATGTTCTCAGACAAACCACAAGCAATAAACCAGAAGTAAACCAAGAACAAACCTTGGCTTATTTATGGCTTACCACTCAACCACAAACTGGATTCAGAAAACATGGGAAACCATACTATGGCATGCTTGAGCCATGTGGGTGCCATGTGCAAGGGGGAAAGCCACACAGGGACCTCCAACAGTAACACAGAGCTATACAACATTAAACGATCAAAATCCAATGCCTTCACTCAAGGCACGTAATCCAAACACTACAATGCCACATGTTTTTGTCCTTTTGGGTCTGAAGGTTTGCTTTTGTAGAAAGCAAAAACTATGTCCAACAATTCTATGTCAGAACTGTTACTCTCTAATCCTAAACATCTTCAGGACTCCAATGAAACCCCTGAGCAAAAGGCCATGACACATCAGAACACAACCTACAGCCTGCAAATTACAGTGGTACCTCGGGTTAAGTACTTAATTCGTTCCAGTGGTCCGTTCTTAACCTGAAACTGTTCTTAACCTGAAGCACCACTTTAGCTAATGGGGCCTCCTACTGCCGCCACGCCACCAGAGCATGATTTCTGTTCTCATCCTGAAGCAAAGTTCTTAACCCGAGGTACTATTTCTGGGTTAGCGGAGTCTGTAACCTGAAGCGTATGTAACCCGAGGTACCACTGTATTAAGGTTAACAGAAACAAGTGGCCAACATCACATGCCTTTTCTTTCTCCACTGGACTAGGTACTCATTTACAGCATGGCTCGCTCAGCGCAAGCATTTTAGACTGAGAACTATAAAACATATAGAAAGGTAAAGGTAATCTCATGGGCACCATCAACACATGTACACATGAAAACACTCAAAAAATCACTGTCTTAAAACACACTCAGTGTAACCCTACACATTTCTACCCAAAAGCGAGCCCTCAAGAATTTATGCAGCAACAGAGACCTGTACTACATGGTGTTTACGGTCATTTTTCATTCATGTGCACGTCACTGACAATTTCAACACGCTTCAAACTAGCCAGCCCAACATTACTGCAATTTTGCTCAAAGGCTCATAGAAACTGAAAACATGGGGCACTATTTCACAAAAAATGAGACTATAATCAATATTCTTTATGAAGGGGTCATCATCTGTATCCATATAGAGCACTCGGGTGAAAACCATTACATTGTGACTACAGACTAAAACTGGACTAGTATATGCATGTGGTTCTGAAGGGAAGGAGAAATAATAACTACCAGCTACCACGAAAATCAGTTATGCTATGGGCATGGGTAAAAGTGTAACTAACCCATTAACCAGAGGCCTTGCAAAGTGCAACATGTGGTGATACAGGGTGAGATGGTCCTGACCTACCAACCAACCAACCAGAGGCCTTGGAAAAAGTGAGATTATGGTGCAACCTCATGTTATGGACTTGACACTAGGGACAGGGGGCCTGCTATGGGTGGGTTGGTGATTTCTTGTGATATGGCAGGTTAATAACTGGATATAGAAAGCAAATCCATGGTTTCAAGAAATATATCAGTTAATGTCTGAATGTAAGATTATGAAGAAGAGTGTTGACTGGATAATCTCGTATATTAACAATAATGCACTATATAGCTGCTCCTGCTACAATATTGTTACTCCCAAGTAAAAAGTATGCATTGGGTTATCCCATTATATTTTCTCCTGCAGCCTCCTCTCAAGCTCCAAAAGTGAGCTGACAAGGCTAGAATTCCCAGTGTCTGGAATATAGGACATTTTTTACAGAGATCATGGGAGGTAGGGATGAAACAGTGAGTTAGTGCTTATTGGGCATGATGGTGGCAGCTATCTTATTGTAAAAGAAGCTGATGCAAGTGTGACTTCCTGTGGAAACAAGGAAGAAACAGCAAATTAAAGAAAAGAAGACGCTTCATTTCAGAAAAGACACAGAGGGATATAACTGCTGTCTTAGTTATTAATGGGCAAGAGGTACCCTTGCTTGTGCATCCCTGGGCAGAGATAGTGAGGGTAAGGTAAAAGCAGCAGGAGGCAACTTTTTGTTACCAAAATAGTTTGCCTCCAAGTTTCTTGCCATTGGGAACAACTTACACAGCAAGCTCAGATGCCTTCTAGGAATTGTGGTAGTGCAGATGAATGACCAGTAGCAACAGAAAAGGTACTGTTCCAGTTATCAGGATGCAACTCTTCAGAAAATTGTGCCTCTGTTGGTGAGACACTGGTGACTACAAAGTGAAGACAAAATAAGAGTGCAGAGAACAAAAATGATCGCTTTGTCTGCATTGTTTCTCAAATGATCCCACCAAGGAAGGCACAATCTACTGGACGTCATGATGTCATCACACTATATAGTCTGATTTGGCTATTTGCTGGTATCATTAAAGGTAAATAAATGTCAGGGTAATCCTACCTATACTAAACATATAGGTGTCACAATCACAAACTGCCAGCTATTATGAAGTCTGTATTTTGCAGTCCTTTTGCTACAATACAGCCAATTCTGATGAAGTTTTGCACAAAACATTTTTTTCTAATCAGTCCTATTTAAGGTTCTTTGTTCATATTTTCCCTAAAACAATCAAGAAAATTATAAAAGAAAATTTAATCTTTCTTTCTCTCCCCCCCTTTTTTCTATGCTACCAACCACCACCAGACAGCTGTCACCCTAAAGTATTAAGCAATCTATGATGTGATTTAGAATTATGGGGTCCTGCTGGTCATAAAACAATTGCAAGAAAAACACCCTCTTTCTCAGTTCAAATTCTGGAAAGTTGTTCTGTACTTATTGAAACAAACTAATGCCCTGAAATTTCACTACTAATTCTATGATGATCCATATAATTCTATATCTTTAACTTTTTCTCCCCTGAATCTCATAGTGAAACAAGCAAACAATGGCATATGCCATTGGACATTGTCTTGTCCAAAATTGGTTTTGCCCATGAAATAGTCAACTCTGAGTAGTCAACACTAGACCAAGGTTTCCCAAATTTGGGTCTCCAATTGTTTTTGGACTATAATTCCCATAATCCCTGATCACTGGTCCTGTTAGTTAGGGATGAGAGCTGTAGTCCAAAAACAGCTGGGGACCCAAGTTTGGGAAATTCTGCACTAGACTAAAGTGAGATGAACACACTCAACAATCACAGCCTAGGGCATTGTATTCTAAGGTTCTCATAGTGGGATCACACTTTTTCTGAATCTGAACTGGAAACAAATTTCACTTCTATATCTTATAAGATTTAATTTTAAAGTGTGCAATAGTCAATAACTTTTCTGTCTCCAAAACAGTACATTCCCACCCTCCATGATTCAATATGACATACCTCTTTCAGGATATGTCATTCATCTACAAGAAACAGGACCATTCAATCACACCTCAAGTAAGAACATGGTCAATTACTAACCACAGCAAAGGCTGAATAGAAGCAAGCAAAGCTAAAGCAGAATCAAGCACGATCACTAGCAACTTATTTTGTGGATGGGTACTTCAGATTCACATAAAACATTTGACTAATGGGCTTATCTATCACCAATTTAGACTAGTAGTTGTGTGTCCCAGCACACAGCTGAAAATTACTGGCAAATGAACAAAGCTTCCATATCACTAGTACCTCCTTGGGGACGAGGATAGGCTGTTCTGAATGCAGGCAACTCCACTAAGAAATCAGAGGGCTGCCCTGCGTGGGTATGTTTCGTTACTTGTCATTAAATATCAACAACAACAAAAAAGAAATCAGGCTTTAGGAAGGCTGCAGGAGGCAACCAAAGGTGAACCATCATCAAAAGCTCATCAAAGTCTCCAGGTTGACTCCTCGACACATTAGATAACACATATGTATCTGCGCACCAAGTTGTAGGTTGTATTTTTATTCTGGTACTTTAACACAAAGTGGGACCTGAATCCTTTGCCCCTAAGAGGATTGTTCCTGTTCAAGGCTCCTGCTAGCCTGAAAAAAGAGCCTTGCAATGCTATTCAGGGCCTACAGGGTGGGGAGGTTTCAAGACAGGGAAAAAGAAAAAAGACAACTTTTATGGAGGTCTTAGGTGGGAAAAAATAATCAATTTTCTCTTTCCATCTCTCCTAAAACCTTTCCCCAAGTGACTGGTTTAAAGAGCACTTTTTTCTATACAGCAGTTGAAGGAACAAATTTGTGCAGAATGAGAAACAAA